TGCGCGATAGACACAGTAAAAAGGTTCAACTATATATTAATATTGTGCGCAGTCGACGATTTGAAACTGGTAACTATCCACTACTGACTTTTTTACCTTTCACCCCGGAACGTGGTGCGTCCAAATTAAGTTTGTGTGTTGTCAAACATCGTACGCGGTTCGGAAAAAAATGTGAAAATCAGTGACAGATTTAACGGAAAGAAAATAAACGTTCGCCGACTGGGCCCTTGCCCGTAAAGGATTCTGGACTTGTAATAATTGTACTGTTTTATTATTTTATATTTATATTCGTTAAACGAAATGTTCGATTGTGAATATTATACTAACGGGCACCCAATTGATTGGGAGTTGATTGTTGTATGATGCGATTAAAAATAAAAAACGGTATCCGAGCCCATCGAGTAATTGTTTTATTAGATGGGGCCGTACCAAAGTTTCTTGGGGCCAGGAGCAAATTAATTTGGGGGCCCTTCGACCATAATAATAAGATATGATAAACAAAATATTCACTGAGAATAACAAAATTCTTGCAAACGTATTTTTTTAAACCTTAACCAATCAATCTTATTTAAATTCATGTACTGCATTATATACATTACTTACATATAAGAATTGAATATTATTCATATTATTTATTATTTAATCACTTAATGTAATCGGGCAAGTCGCTACACGCTCACGCGCGCGCGACTTTAATTGCCGACAGGCAGCATGTAAAATTGCTCAGTGTAATTTAGGCTTATTAATTATTATTCATCAAGACTTTATGGGGCCCCCTAAAAAGTATTGCTACAATGAGGCCTTTGGCAAAATGGTCCCGATGCCTCTCCCCCCTCTGAACGGCCCTTGATGTCCTTTGCAACGTTTGCGGACCAGGCGTTTTTCCTACACCCGCTACTGGTTAAACGATATGTGGGCGCGCGCACGCGGAACCGGTCGAGAACCATCACCGGACCGACCGGGGACGCACAGCACTCGCGTTATCAGCGTGAAATCAATGGATCAGGTAACGCGTCGTTAAGTAGAGCCCGTGCAGTCGACGGGGTTGTCGGCGGGTTCGAATCGCGGGTCAGGATTTTCGGAGTACCGAACGCGAATGTAACCCGAATACCCTACGACGACGGTGCACAGAAGTAATACCCGGGACGTGCAACGGATAATTATCCGTCCGTTAAATTGGCAACACGACCGTCTCGCAAACACGCGGTCCGACGTGGTCGTAGACCAATCCTGGGGAGAGGTTGGGGTTGCAACAAACCCCAACTCATCAAAACATTCCGAACGCTCAGATTTCAATATTTAAATGTACGTGTCGAGCCGAGCACGAGATCGTTAACTCAGGTCTCGGGCATAACGTTATCGCGTTTCCGCGCACGTAATATGAAATCGGTAATTCAATAGAAATTAGGCAAATGTTTGTACTTAATATGACTTTTTGGTGGGTGGTATTAACTATGCTTGAACCACCAACTGAAAACGTCAAACCGCCTGTGTGGCGCGACAACATATGACGTATAGATGAGCGAACGATTACGGTTGTTCGTCCACGGCCGAAACCAGATGTTTGTGGTGAATTTTTTCCTTTTTTCCGTTCATCCCGCGGTGAACACGAAAATTCGACGAAGATTTCGGCCGAACGACGTGTTTCTTGCTGTCAATACAACAGTTCAGGCGAAGGAAGTGTGTTAGATAAAGTCCAAATAATTACTTAATCCAAGTTAACTTGTTGTTTATTGAAATATTTCTAAGTACAAAGTATTAATTTAATTTGACGAATAGACTGGCCTGGGGGCGCGTGCTAAGATAGGACTGTTAACACATCTGAATATTGGTCTGGTAACCTACACTCAGTGCTCGACTTGAGGGGGACGCAGGGGGACGGAGTAACCCTTCTAATTTTTAGAAATTTTAGCGTCCCCCTACAATTAATACGTTATAATTATAACGCTCAACAAGTTTTGGGGACGCAATTTTCTTTTAAGCAAACAGAGTCCCCCTTCTTTAATTTTGCCAAATCAAGCACTGCCTAAACCTATACACCCCGTTTCAATGCAAGAGATTGTGACGCTTCCAAAAGGTTAACATACATGACCCGGACGTCATTCAATCATGTCAATGCAAAATATCTAATACTTGAAATGTCAATCATTTGTACCTTACTGTGCGCGCAATCCTGGATTATTTATTACGTTTGGTTGGCCTTGTGAACTCTGTATTTCGCAGTTTCCACTTTTTACGTATGTTATATTCAATCGTGTGCTTTGTATTCACGCATTTGGAAAACGCCCATAATCCTTTAGCCATCGCAACCGTACTACTGGTTTTTATTTTAAGAGTTATTCTAACATTAATCGTGTGATACGTGGTCCCCGTACAATGGTACTTATATGCAATGCCGAAAAAACCGCAGGGGCAATGCCCCTGTAAAGGAGCCTCTTATGGTTAGTTTCGGGACCCCACCTCCCTCTAAATAATTTCATTATGATAAATTACATAAAAATTATTTAATGCATTTATTCTTATAATTATACGATTGTATATTTTTATTATTTTTATTAATTACAATTTTATCAGAACGGGCCCTCCGGATTGCACATTGATATACTATAAGATATAATATTATAGATAACATATTATAGTGTTATGCAATGAGTTATTTTTATACATACCATTGGGATTCCCGAAATAATTATTGTAATCGCCATTCGTGGCATATTTATATAGGCATGTAACGAGCTGGACTCGGCCCCGATCATTGCTTGTCCGACTATCTGAGTGTTTGACGATATTCTCATAGTCCTATTGTTTTTTTATAAGATATTATACCTAATTAGTTATTAACAAGGCTCGGAACTTTATACGATAAAAAATACTAAAATATGCGTTAAAAAACATCAAAATATACGGTATAATATGCAGTAAAAAATTAGAAAATAATTGCTTTAAAAATAATAAACTGACTACTGACTAGTGTACACTGTACAATGAAGTCACTTACATGCAAATTAATGCAGTATTATAACGAACAGAAATAATATTGTGTATAAGCTGATAACCTAATGGTTAAACATAATAATTATTTTATAGGTAATTATTGTTAAGAAATTACCTATGGTTATACAATTTGTTTATTTCATGTTACAAAATATTAATACAGAGGTGAATTTGTAATATTATTGTTAAATGCTTTGTGAGCCGGAGCATTACAAATAATAGTCGTTGATGAATTAATTTATTTTGTCAAATGATATAAAACTTAGAATTTTGGTTGCCATATGTACATCTTATATTTTATTATTGAACTACACATTTTTTTTGAAAAATTTTGTTAAATCCATGAAATATGCATATAAATGTTCTTAAACCCAAAATATGTAAATTGGTGCAAAAAATAACAAAACATGCAAAATTATACAACAACAATTTTTATATCTGAAATATAGGTACAAACTATGAATCGAATTTGTATCGAATTAGAATTTCAAAATGCATTTTCTAGATAAATATGCAAATGCCTAAAGTTTCAAGCCTTAGTTATTAGTGAATAATAATCTTGCTGGTTTTAAAAAAATGATGTCAACGTTAAGGCAATATTTAAGCGGAGCTGCTAAAAGAAAACGAAAAATAGAAAAAGAAAATGAAAACAAAAAAATCGCTGGATTTTCCGCTCAGGATCCCCCAAGAATCCTATTTGCGGCACCGCTTGTACGATAACCTACATCTATGTAAGTCCGTAACAGACTTACGGATCCGCGATTTTTCCACCGTCGTTTACCATTCCAACGCCGGAACATATTTGGCGACCGGTAAAACTAACAAATACGGTGTCGATGGGCGTATTCCTAAAAATGCTTATCGAACGTTGCGCCGGTGTTCGTTAACAAACGTCATTGTGCACCGTCCGGTTTCGCGAACGATTATCGTAATCGTCGGTCGCAAGCGCGCCCGCAGGATAAAATCCCACCCGGGGCGAGATTAAAACTCCAAGTGCCAAAACAACGTGTATATAAAAATAGACGAGAACAAAATCAAATACCATAGAAATCTCGGGAGAATTTATAGTTCTAAGTGATATGCAGTCATGTGTAAACATTGTAGACTAATAAATACGTTCAAGATTATACATTTTAGATTATCTAGAAGTATAATCAGTTTTACTAAACTTCATAAATGGATCTCAATGAAATTATGTTATAATTAATATGCATGGTATTAAATTAAAAATAGTTTTGAAACAAGAATTCCAAGTAGGGGCAATGGCCCCTTTGCCCCCCACCTGTGGGCTCACATGGTCGGTCGTGTGCACACCTGCATGGACGCGCGTGCGCGTAGAGAGCGCCGGGAACCCAACCCGTACCGCTCGGGAACCCAGTTACGTCGAGTGCGGACCGGGGGTTGGTTTGCCCCGTCCGATAATGTGGGGGGGGGGGGGAGCTGATATAATTCTCAGCACAATATACATATATTTATACATGTGCGCAACGGTATGTTTGTGCGGTTGTAACGTTCGACGGGATCGGATCATTATTTTTTTGTTCGTCGACCCAAAGATCACGCAGATTTTCGCGGGCGCGCGTAATTTAGCGGTTTCCACCCCAAAAAACGTATTGTAATAATCATGAGACGTACGGTGCACAACACCTTATTGCCCGTCGTTAAAGTTCCATTGATTTCGAAGAAGGTCAATCGCACCCCTTAGTAAAAAAAAAAAAACTTCCACCTATTTACGTGCCTGTCGGGACTTCCCCTAGACGCGCGGTCATAGTGGGTTACGCGCGACCGCGGTCGTCCCGTCAACCGGGCACACCTCTACTAGGTAATGTTGAAATGTGCACGCGCAATAATGTGCTCGACGATAACAATGATAATTACAAAGGTAAATAACGCGTCAGGAACGCGGTCTAAATTTACACGCGCGTTACCTGATAACCGGATTTCACGGGTAAAAGTGCGAGATCGGATTTCCGACCCGACACATCGGTCAGTCGTCGAAAGCCCGTCCGCGGAATGAGGTCGCGGTCCAACGGGATTGCGAACGTTTGTATTAATCATATTATTATTATATTGTTACATTGTTATTACTATTGTTGTCGTTCGGCGTTCGCACACGAAGTACACATGGAATAAGAGCCAAATACGACACCGCACCCGCCGCTAACCGTACCGAAACGTATCGCATTGCACCGGGCTACTTGCCCGACCGTGGGACCTGTATTCGATCGCCGCCCCCGCCGCCAGACGTCCGTATATTTGGTAAGTGTTTTCAACCGTAAAACGACCGTAAGGCTTGTGCTCGGACACGGCTCTGGACAAGTCGTTTGTCGTCCGCAAAACGTTTGGTCGCACGTGCACGTTCGGAAATCGTACCGATCGTAACGGTAAGAAATATCGCGACGCGGTGTACACAGACAATGCCCCAGACCCATTATCACTGCCGCCGTGTTTTCTTTAAAAATCCAAAATTCAACACTTGCAGTGTGTCGAATACAGTGCTGCAGTCCGTAGCAATGGTTTTCAATCTTTTTAACAATCCACATAATACGCGAAGCATATTTTATACATATGTGTACCGTCTATTAGACGGTTAAATATTATTATGAGTCAATCGATTACATGTATCTACGATTATAGTTCGATCAGTTTTCACCGAATTTCGATAATAATACAGGTAAATACGTACTTGTAAAACAATTTATAGACTTATCGCGGATACGCTTCAAGGGCGTTCGCGGCACACCGGTCGAAAACCACAATGGCCTGTAGCATACTACAATACGATAGTTTTATGTTACTAGTACTACTACTGAACTTTTCACAGAGCTATCGAATATTGCTCGTTACTGTAATTACAGGTATACGCGATTCCTGTTTTTTTAGCGGAACATATAATACTGTTTATTTACCATTTATTGATTTTATTATAAATTGTATAATACTGACAAATCGCTACCGCCGCCAATGCGAACGAGTCGGTGGTGTTGCTGGCGAAGCTGTTACCGCTACCGCTGTAGTGGTCTAGGGATATCATTACCGCCATCGCGGCTGTGTGCGCGGTCCTTAACTTCACACGATTTTTACCTATCCCGACCGATACGATGCGGATCATCGATTTCGGGTGCGTTTTTTTTTTCGTGATAAGTACTGTCCGTGTGCAGATGTACAAATGACTTTTGAAGGATGCGACGACCATTAGCGTGCCGTAACTAGTGATCGGAGGAACGGGTGGTTGCCAGGGGCACAACAAAGTTCGAGTTAAATTGAAATCGGTTTATTTGTACGACATAAAATTCGTTATGGGCTCCACGACGGGTAGTTACGGCACTGGATACCGTTGAGTTATCACGATGCTTTCTACAAATCCCAACAGTTACAAAAAATGTCATTGATATTTAAGATTTGCGTTTCTAACGCTATATTTATATTATAATATTATATTCTCTACCTAACATAACGTAGTATCGTGGTAGAAGTGAGGTTTTTCCGAATATTTTGTTGTTGTTCGTGTTGTGTACCGAGGAAACCGTTGATTTCAGCCCTTCGCAGCCAACTCGTTCCGATTGGTCGAGTGGCGCCCATTTTTTGAATCAACTCCTAGTATACTCACACGGTAAAGGCCTAAAACATTTAAAACCCCATTGTGTACGTAGGCACGTCGTGTTTTATAAAACGTTATAAATATCGATATTCATCGTCAACGTGCGCACGATGGTTATGGGAACACTGCCGTGGCAGTGGCGTACGAGAAAATTATAATCGCAGGTCAGGTACGGGTTAGTTGATGACGGACAGAGAGAGTTGGGCGTATCGACGGGACGAGTAGCGTATTATCACGACAAATGGCCGACGACGGCCGTGATTTTCGGCGACGCCCGTGATGCCGGTGATCGTGAACAGACGTTGACGACAATTGTATTTAATTGAACGATAACGTACTCGGGCGAGGCCGTACCCGTGTCGCCTTAAAACGCCGCGGGACAACATTGGTCCGAATTGAAATAATATTTGTCTCCGAGACGTGTCTGAAACCGCGGTGGCGTCATAATCGGTCCTAATAATAAACGTCAATGAACTGATTCATTTTTTTTTTTTTTTTTGGGAGGGAACAATTAAAGACCCATCCGTTCGAAGCGTTTGGAAGACTGTGTGCTGTGGACGAGTTTCGCAGTGATGTCCGAGAAACCACTCTTGTCGCACTCTTTTCAAGTAATTCTATACGATTCAATTAGACACGTTTTGTTTGTAATATGTTTTTATTTATTTCCCGTCTGGCCGTCAAGCGCGTTCCTATTATTATCATTATTGAATCAACCCAGACAGGATGTAGGTCGAATTCATAATTAAGACGACCTTTTAATAAGTTTGGACCAAAATCCATGAGAACCGAGATTCGACGACAACGACGACAAACACTTGAAATGTTGTAATATTATCGTGAAATTGTTATTGCAATGCATCAAGCGTTTCGGCGAATAATCGTTTTTAATAATAATCTTGGGTGGTTATTACCATCTCCGACCGTAATAACTGTCACCGATTAGAATGTCTCGGTACGTATCTCGAATGATTTTCGAGATGATTATTTATTGCTAATCATTTAATTTATGTTGTCATGGATTCATGTTATGATAATTCAGTGTGTTGGGTATAAAAATGCGCCTGCTTAATGGTTACGCAGTCTTTACTATCCGTATAATGCATTTAAAAAAAAAGTCTATTATGAATATAAAATATATCGTTGATATTGTTTGAATATTATTCGATGCTATCAGAATTTACTCGTCCTCCTCGGATCGATATAAGATACACCTATAAATAACCCAAATAAATTTGGTTGTAATGATTTATTACATTAATTGTTTTTTTCCGTTTTCGGTTAAATATTAAAAACCATTATACGAATCTTGGACAACATATTTATTTTTAATAACAATTAGATGATTATATATAATAATCTAATTGACAATTGTTGTCATGTTTACACGAAACTTCTGACGAAAAACACTAAAAAAAACAAAATAATACACATTATGCAATCGAATTTAAAATCATTTAATATTTATCATTGTAATTGGGAAATATTCTATGCAATTATGTAACATCGTAATAACGATTTAATAATAAGTTAGACGATTTTTTTCCTTTGACACCTAAATAATTGCCGCGTATTTTCTACATAATAATGAAAAATGAATCTATTAAATATTAAAATATTAACGCAATTTCAAATGTATTAGTCTGCATTAAGGACGTTACATAAAAATATTCTACGGAAAAAAAAATTAATTTCTTAAAACGTTATATGTTTTTAATTTCTCTTGGTATTCTTGTGAAATATACTTCATACATAACTCATTCAATATCCACTCGCCTGTAACGTCAATTTCGCTGTACTCGTGCTAGCTATATTACAAAACGCATTTGTAATGAACGTTAAATGAGCAAAACAATAATCATATAATAATAAATCATTAGGATTTCGCGTACTGCTTAGTTTATTTTTCGAATAATATTTTTTGTCGAATAACTATCTCAATAAGTTACCTATAAATGATCATTTATATTATGATCGATCACTGTTCAACCGATCTGTTGGTTAGTTTGATTGGCTCTTGATGTTTAAGACTATTAACATTTGGATTGAGATGTTTCTTAGCAAGGGATTGGTACTCCAAGTGATATTTCGACTATTTTATTCCAATTCACCAACACATGATTATAAGTTGCTCGTAATTTGTCTGCTGTACATGGTTTAGGAAATGCGACCAATATTATTAAAATTTCACAATCAATAAAGACTTCTACAGTTGCACCGCTTTTATGTGTGATCTACGGTTTTGTTTGTAAATGTAACAATTCACTTAATTTTTTAATTTGTTGTTTGTTTTTCAGTGATAGGACGTCGCACATAGATTACATTTACATTTCCAATACATAGACAGGACACGATCACCGCTCCTACAGCCTGACGACCTCGTTCACCGCGCAGACGGCCAGACTACCACCGTACGCGTGTTGCCACTGCTACGTGGGTACGTAATAGCAATTGTGTAAATATTTCTGCAGGACTCTATTGTTTGTAAAATATGTCCTGCCGAGAAAAAAATTGAAAATAAAAATAACCGCAAGACGTGTAAATGTTTGGTAGAACACACAATATATATTTGCACGCGCGCGCGCGTGTGTGTGCGGGTGGGTGTGTTCAGTAAGTTCTAAAGTTTTTCGATGAAATATAAATTTGGCGAATACGAGTATATACGTTTTGAATCAAAATTAGTTGCATAAATATTATTTATTCTTATTTTCCTAGCGTGTTTCGCTTAGATAGAAATAATTTAAAATCATATAATCATTATATACGTGTACGATGTGACATTATTACTCGCGATATCAGTAAACAGTACTCCTTACGTGGGACATGTGGCTCTTGTCGTTTTCAGATGCGGCTCGCGTTTTATTTATACAATTTAAATCTACTTACTAATATTATTATAATTATGAATTTTAATTCTATCTTTATAAATTTATGAAAAATAATCAAATTATTTAAAGTGTATCCATAAACATTTCGGCTCTTGGTAGATATAATTGTATTTATCCGTGTGGTCCTTGGACCTATTCGTGCTGGACGCACCCCTAGTGCGTAACAAGAATTTGAATTGTTCACATATCAAAATCGATTATTCACTGTTACGTTATTAAATGCGTTTGGATTTCACGTCGTTTACTTGTGTTTCGTTTGAGTATACAAATGGAAAAATTATCTTTTAATATTGAATCATTTTCAATCATAATTTATTTTATTTCTATACGAGAAAAGCGATGTAAAAACTACGAACAGCAATACGTGTGTCGCGGGTTGACCAACCCTTGTACGATCTAAATCAGCGTTTCTTAAACTTTTTTGTCCGTGTTACCCTTTTTGGTGTCCTCATTTATCGTGGAAACCCTACTTTTTTTTGGCTTTTTAACTTTTTTTTAAGATTATTTAAAAATAAATTATAATCATAACAATATTGTGTTAAAGGTATTTAATTTAAAAAATATGTTAAAATTAAAATAAAAATAAAAATAATTATATTCATATATAATAATAATTACTTTAATTAGACTAAATATATACTAAATATACATTTAAACTATTCCATATGGTTTATACATTGTTATTTAATATGCAAAGATTTTTTTTCTATAATGCAAATATTTTTTCACCATTACTAATCTTTGGTTGGAAACAGTGGCGTAACAAGGGTTTAGCGAACTGTGCTTACGCCAGGGGCTCAAATTGCAAAGGGGCGCAAAATAGTGCAAAAGTCGTATTTTTATCCTACAGTTAAATCGACATTTTTCAATTATAATTTTTGAAATACGTAGATGTTTATTTGTCTACACTATAGTGTTTACGTATACGTGTGAATTTAATGATGAAACTATGGAAATAGGGTATTTAAGTAAAAAATTTCATATGAAGAAATGATCGATAAATTTTCCAGTCATAAAGCAAGAAAAACAAATTTTCAAAGTTTAAAATTAACACTGTAATAATAACTTAAAAGTATAAATTGCATACTACTTAAAAATATAAGTAAAATTAAAGGTTAAAAAAAATATCATAACATCAAATTTGAATTGGTTAGAAAGGTAACTTTTTCTAAGTTTGCCAGGGGCGCTAATCAGTTTTCTTACGCTACTGGTTGGAATTTTTAAAGTAATTTTTTTAAAAAATTTTAAAATATTATTTAAACTTCGCGGAACACAGTTTAAGAAACGCTAATCCAGACCGTCCCCGGATCACGTCGGTGCTACACGGTCGTATGGGACAACTCGTTATTCTTCTTTTGTAATGTTAAATGTTCCCTTCGGACAGGACACGTTTCGGCGGGATCGTCAACGCGACCGTTTCACCACGTCATGCACTACTACTACCGGAAGCGGAGTTCGGCATCGGCGGTGGACCTGCGGAAGGCGATTGAGCGCGGCAACTACGCCGCGGTGAAGCGGATCATCACGCGCAACCGGTACCTAACGCACTGTCCTACTGGCCGCGCGGCCGACCATCCGGTGCACGTGGCCGCGCAGTCCGGCCACCAGCGCATCGTCGGCCTGCTACTGCACCGTGGCGCGGACCCGGACGCCAGGAACGCCAACCGCAAGACGCCTGTGCACCTTAGCATTCTGCACAGCCGGCCGCTAGTGGTCGGCTTGCTCATGGACAACGGAGCCGACCCGACCGTGGTGGACGGTTACGATAACACGCCGTTGGACCTGGCCGCGCTGATGAACGACAAGTAGGAAAAAAATCAATTATAACAAGAAAGTCCGTTCCCAATTCTTTCTCCCGCGCTCTCCAAATCTTTCGCCATTACGTAATGTTTCACATGCTTCGTATTTGTCTTTTTCCACCCCTTACTTGGTGCCTTCTTGAACGTTCGCGACCAACGTAAAATAATACCCCCGTCATCTGTTTGCAAGAAACGCATCACACCTAACCTGTCATCTCGCTCTCTCTCTCTCACACACACACACATACTCACAGCAATGCGCTAATATAGCCTAGTTTCCTTTTGTGCATATAAATTATGCTTTATTTGATATATTCGTCAGTTAAAATAATTACTAAACGTCATTATAAATTACCAGTATAGCATTAAATTCTTTATTATTGCAAATAGCTAAGCCTTGTATTACATTAGCATAAATAAGTTTTAAATTCGTTGAAATATATTATTATTGTCGATCAACTACTGGTACGCAGTTAACTGCTGCAAACACTCAATGCCTGACAAAAACGTTTCAGACTACATCAATATTATATTTTAATTCTCAAATAATCGATTGATTCTCCAAAAACCATTGTTATTCGCACTAAAGAAAATGTACTGGTGCATACTACTGCTGCGCATAACAGACGGTTATTGATTCTTCGATAATAGTGTCAATTTTCTCTCTGCAATGAAGTCTTTTGGTGTTCGTCTGACTCAGATTAGACAAGATATTTCTGATTTGTCATCTTCGGAATCATTAATACCAGCCGTGTATTTTGATAATAACTAACTATTATTAAAACTCGATTCGATCGATTCGAAAACCACCGTCCCGTTCTGCATAATTTAATTATTCACGCTCGTATTTTTTGTATTCGTTCATTTTGAATGTTGCATATTTGCAGACGGTGTTTAGACGTGCTACTTAACCGCGACATGCCCAACTCGGTATTAAACAGAGCACTTTTCAAAGCCGCTACACAAGACAACACAATATTGATGAACAAGCTGATAAATCGCGGGGCGAACATCGAACACGTGGACGAGGCGACGGGATACACAGCCTTGCTGGTGGCAATGAAGATCAAGCACTTAAGAGCATCGCAGTTCCTATTGGAAAAAGGGGCCGATCCATATGTACAGGATCAGTTCGGGTAACGAAAGCAATCTTTTTTATTTTATTTTTTAAATATATTTTCACATCTGCGAACGGCTAACGTGGGCGTGTTGATAAGAAAAAAATTAACTCTACCTACTTAATATAGAGATCAGGGAATACGAGAACGTTATCTTCGTAACAATATAGCAAAGTTAGCAAATAATATATATATAGCAAATATATTTCTTCAAGTTCAAATTATTACTAAAAAATACCGATTCGATTTACGGTTAAAAACTGGCTGATTTTATATTCCTAATAAATACATATAGGTTAATTGTATGTTCTTTTCAGTTTGGTAAAAGTCGATTATTATATTAAAATTCATAATATTATTTTATTCTTAAAGTACGTTTAGTAAATTGAAATCATTATTTAAATGTTTGAGCTTTGACTCGTCTTAATCTATCAGAAAATCTATCAAATCCAACCTTTAGTTACGGCCTGCACTTTTTCATGCACAGTATCGTTACTGCATCATAGCATTATGTTCTATGTCTCGACTGTAACAAAATATAGTGTTCGACTACCGATAATGTCATTATGGTTATTGTTTCCGGGTTCATATGAGGTACAGTGAATAAAGCCGCCACCGCGTGGTGGTTTTCTTTCGGTATTTTTCTATTTGTTTTCAATTCGAGCAGAGTGCATAGGTTAATAATGTTTTAGGGATTTGGGGACGATATTTTATCTGCGTGCGTTAGCGCTTCAACATGATTTAATAATGGTTCCGTTTCGCGCAGGTGGACATGTCTGCATTTTGCCGTGTACTACGAATACTCGTACCGGACGCTGCTGATGGTACTGCACAAGTACGTCGCGTCGAAACGATCGGTGGACTCGCGCACGTTCAACCAGGAAACGGCGCTGCACTTGGCCGCCAGGCGGGGAAACGTCGTGGCCGCGGCCGCGTTGCTGCAGGCCGGCGCCCACGTGGACGCGGTCGACCGCAAGAACAAGACGCCGCTGCTGGCCGCCGTGCACCGGCATAAGGACGCGGTGGCCGAACTGCTGGTAAGGGCCGGAGCCAGCGTAAACCGCGTGGCCGGATCGGCCGGCTCGCCGCTGCACTTGGCCGTCGCACGCCACCACCTGCCGCTGGTGCGGTTGATGCTCGAACACGGTTCCGCCGTGGTGGACCCGCGTGACGGTGACGACAACATGGACTGGACGGTCATCCATTCGGTCTGCGAGTCCGGTGAGTTGAAGACTGCGATCAGAACCCACGCTTCCCTTTACCTGTGCATACTAGGCCTTGGGTCGGACGATATCCGTTCCGCCCAATAGTTTCCGTACCCAATGTCGTAACAGTAGACAATCGATCGTTTAGATTCTCCCTCCCCCCACAACAAAAAATTTGTTGTATTTTCGAAATAAAACATCCCGTTCATTACGTCAAACGTCCTACTGATTGTTGTTGACGGTTTACGGTCGGTTCCCGTCGCATCGACCTCGGTGTGGATTACATTTGTATCCGTTGCGAAGAACTCTTCCGGTGGAATCTACGCCCTGTTCGCACAACGTGGCGTTGTCATGATATTTGTTGTAATGTTCGCAGGCGATACGGACATGCTGGAGTGCCTGCTGGCGTACACGGATCCTGGGACGTTGCGCGCCCTGCACGCGGGCGGCCGGCCGAAGCCGCCGATCGTGGTGGCCGCGTCGGCGGGCCACCAGGCAGCGGTAGAAGCGTTGCTGGCGCGCGGCGTGGACGTGAACGCGCGGCGCCGCGACGGCGAGACGGCCCTGCACGCGGCCGTGCGGACGAACCGCGCCGCCCTGGTGGACCGGCTGCTGGACGCCGGCGCATGCATAGACGCGCGCGACACCTCGGCCGGTCGCCGGCCGCTGGACGTGTCCGTGTGCACGTGGGGCCGCCGGGTGACGGTGACCGCGCACCTGGTGCACTCGGACCGCATGGCCAAGGCGGTGGTCCGGCACGACGTGGACGCGGTCGCGTTCCTGCTGGCGTGCGGCGTGTCGCCCAACATGACCACCGAGGCGTACGGGTCGCCGCTGCACGTGGCCGTCCGGCACAGACGGTACCGCATGATGGCCGCCCTGCTGTCGTCGGACCGGTGCCGGACGGCCGTACGCCACAACGGTGTCACGCCGCTCGACTACGCGGTGGCCATGGGCGACGCGCGCGCCGCCAACATGATCCAGTGGCGAGACATGCAGCGACGGCGCCGGCGCACCAAACACCTGTCGCCGGTCGCGGCCACGAAGCGCGCGTCGCGGCCGCGCGGCGGCGTCGGTTCCGACGACACCCCGACCAGGCGCTCGTCCATCTGACCCGCGGCCGAAGACGACGACGACGACGACACGACACGATACGATACTGTTCATACCTTCCCGTCAACAGCAACACGCACGCGATCAAACCCGCCTGTTTCGCGATTTTTTTTTTTTTATATAATTTCTATTTTATTTTATTTTTTCACGTTTTCACTCTGTTTTTTTTTTATTTTATTACTATTACCATGTTATTATTTTTCTATCTTGTCGTGACTCAAGATAAACCAACGTTTAGGGATAGTTTTTTTTTTTTATTGTTTTTTAACATATCGAATTGACAAACCTGTTATTTTACTCTCCGTTCGCACGACCGCGATGGAGTCCGACCCACCTCCACTTCCCGGCCCCATTGATCTATAAGAATTACTACCCCCACCCCGACCATCTGGACGCATCCATTGCGATACGTTTTTTCCCCATTCTTAATTTTTCTTTTCGTTAAACTATACGACGTTGTATGTTGAACGTTGACGATTTATCAATATCAACCGATTAATGTTGTGTTCGAATCGCAAAATACCGATTTTGTATGTAGAAAAAAAAACCATCCGGTTGCCGTTTAGACCGAACCGATTTCGTTTTCAAATTTTGTACAACATTATAACCGTTACGCGTATTATGTAGCTTTACTGACTCAAATCACAACAAACAAATATGTAATTGTGATTTATTGTACTTTGTTAACATAACATAGAATACAAAATCAGACCTCCGTTTTAAAGCTTCATTTTGTAATTTAATTTTACGTCGTTTTTAATACGTTGTACGAGTGCCTTTTTTTTATATACATATATCACAATATAGTTTTGATGACTTTAGACCAAATCAAATTATTGTTGCATATTGTCCACTGCTCACCTCACCTGTATGCTATGTAATATTATTTGTTTCCCGTCCAAGCCATTCCAGCCCGATTCCTGGCGTGATAAAAATGTAATGCGATGTGTTATGTTTGTACAAAAGAAACTTTTATCGATGAATTAGTTGTAAACGTAATACACTTATACAACACATGGATTACTCACGAGGATTTGCTAATCGCTACGATAACTTAGTATGATTTAGTAAGTGTATTTAAGATTTCAATATTTTTAATGTTTGCCGGTCTAAGAATTATAATATTCTTTTTTCTTACAAGTAAATTCAAGCGTAATGTTTAAAATCCTCGTGTGACAATGTGTATAAATGCCACCCAAATGGGTTTATATCGAAACAACAAATCAAAATCACGGAATATCCCAGTAGAAGATACGCCTTATGTGTTCATCTATCTGATCGCACGGTATCGATCGAATAATCCGTGTTTATTTATCTTAAAAAACGGAATGCAACACGTTCTGCATGAACTGTACGCGATGTAGGTTTGTAAGGTAATAATAATTAATCTGCGAACACGATTACCATTTCTAATGCGTATGAGGAGAGAAGGATTTTTACCACATTGGCGATATGGTTATTTTATACCGAAACATAATGTTAATAACGAATGGCTTGAATCTACTACAATAACATTAGACTACATTGACTGACGAATTTATTTTCGACCGATATCGATGTGTAACATGGTCGGGACGTACTATGGATTGTTCCGGACAGTGGCGTATCCAGAATTTTTTTTTTGGGGGAGGGGTTATAAAAAATGTAATATTAAATTTTTTTTTTTGAATTTTGTGTGTTTTTTATTATAATCAATAGACAATACACTAAATATTTTCGTGGGGGTTTATAACCCCCCCCCCCTGGATACAGACGTTTTAGAAACTAAGCGAATCTCTCGCTCTGTTACCTGTACTATGCAATAATGTCGTAATTAAATATATTGTATTCTTTAGCACAGGATAGAAATTATACTTGCTTCGCTTTCGAGTTTTTCAGTCCCAATACGATTATTTTCTTTTGTCATTTAATTTCATCACATCATGATGAAAAAATAAAATGAAAACTATGCGTATACTCCACTACAAAATCGTTTTATCCCTTTTTAATAACACTCCATACACCCCGTACCCGTTACAATAACTAAACGCAACTGCTGTTACCATTCGCCCATATCGCATGTGTACAGGGTGACATTTTTTTCAACGCCACTCATTTGCTCCTTCAATTATGTGATTATGATATTTATTTTCTTTCAGTTTATGCGATATCGAAAACGATTATAATAAATAATATCGTAACGATATGCATGTACACATGCATATGATTTATATGCCACGTTTTTTTTTTTTTTTACAAACATTTCAGACAAACGTAGGTGGAAATTAGTGCTGCAGTGTATTTTTTATATATTATACTCGCAGGATAACGTCAGAGCACGTCGTCATCAGTAACATCTAAAGGTAAAATATATCACGATTCACTTGCAAAAAATATTTGTCAGAACAAGGACGTATATATTTACAACATGTGCAGAAATAAATCTAGAAACACTTACGGGATCATAATTTTTTTGTTGCGAAAAATTAAGTGTTAAGGGAAAAAAAAATGCAATTGTTCTCGAAAACACCGGAATCCACCGAGAAAACGAACGTTTAGTTTTGAACGTAACACGAAATTACCCTGTACATACAGATGTGCTTTGTATACTACTGCGTGCGATACGTATACACTCATTACGCAATGTTTCCGGTTGACGTTTTCTAAACATTGGCGTGTAGTTGACGAAACTGCGCGAACATACCGAAGAGAGAAGTCCCCCCCCCCCCCGTCGGGGTTCAATTATGAAACGACATATCGCACACACGTTGTGCACCGCGCATAATGCAAATTTAACATAATACATATCATTGTGTGTGTGAGTGTATTATATACATACATTTCTATCATTTATTGTATGATATTCGCGAATGTATACTGTATGTCGTTATAAAATATCGCGTTTTATTTTTTTATACGTGGGCACCGAACCGTTTTAAACATTATTATCCTAAAACCGATTGAAAAGTCGATTTGAGTACGCGCGTGTGTCTACACCGGTGTATAACAAGCTATACTCGGGGTTTGCTCGAGGGTGGAACGAGGGCGCCGTACATTATAATACACCTCGAGGCTTTTATTCATATCGTGTGCGGTGGACACATTTATCAGGGCCGAATTGCCCTGTCTGCGAACTGCCGAACAGAATACAAATGAAAGATGAATGTTGTGTTTGGGCTTTTTAATTTTGGTGAATTTATCTTAAGGCCCACGCGAGGTTAATACAAGTAACTGTACGGTTTCGGTGTCAAAGTTAGCCGGCCTCCGCGTCCCGATACGGCAGACAGTTGGATGATTTTTAAATTGGAAATATACTGTTAACTACTGGATAAAACTGTCAAAGCTAAAGATCTACGATTTACTCGAGTAGAAAGAAAACCACGGTCGAGGTGTTCTAAGACTAGTTATAATCGTTCTTTGATGGTTTTCCTTTCTAGTCGGTATATAATATTATATATTAACCCCCCGCCCCAAATCAGGAAAAATATGTATTAAAAACCAATAATTTTCATTATCAAGGGAAAATATTTTTCCTACCCCCCCCCCAAACAAAAAAAAAAGAAAATCCTGGATCCACCACTGGATGTGGTATTGGAAAAACAATTCCGCGTTCTGCTGTTGCGTTGCGATTTCGCTGCGCGGCATATACAATAATGTTTATTCATTTCGTTCTAATCAAAACGTTTCGCGTTTACTGACGCGTACCAAACGCCCGCGCACATCCATACGATAAATATAAATACGCGTACCCGTGTGATACAGGTTCGGTGTGCGTAACAAAACACACGTCTCCGCCGCAACGCTTTACCTAAAGCCAAGGACCCTCTAAGTGCGCGTACGGCGGTACACAGACCTCCGGGGAAAATTGGGGTAAATCGTGCGATTTCCTACGGCAAATATACGCCCGCGCACGTTTATGTGCACATATACACTCAGGTTTTACGGTGACGCGTGTTGTTCGCACACACAACGGTCGGGAAAACATAATAGTAACAATGACGATAATAATAATAATAATAATAATAATAATAACCTCTTCTGAGCGTTAATTTCGGGCAGGACGACGAGGATTCGTCGTCGGTGTACACGCGTGTACACACGCGGTAGACGCGCGTGCATAGGCATAGCCCGGGGGTCGCGTTATTTACCCCTTTCGCCGAATAATGTCTCCTCGGAAACATTGTATATAACGTCGATTCCTCCGGGGTTTTGTGCAGTCGAGATTTAATAACGATTCCCGTCGTCGTCGGTTCGTTTGTTTTCCACGACGGTACACGAGACGATTGTACACGGCCGATTCGTTTTACGAATCCTGTTCGTCCCATTCATCGCCGCAACATGGTAGCCTCACGCGATGAACCAGAACATGTTTCAGTGTAAAAATTACGTAGTACCAGTGCCCCCCCCCCAGTGATAATTGAATGCTACCCACTGGTGGGTGATCGACACTTTCTCATAACGACCGTAGTGACAGCAGTTGATTTTCCCTGTATGTTCTTCTGCAATAGCAAACCATGTCTACGGACTTCGATGGCAGAAAATTTTATCGAAGTGCCACCTAGTGAAAATTACTTAAAACAAGTTCTCCGATGAATCAAATACATCAATGTGATCCGTGCACGCGGTCACCTACGGAATCATTTTGGACGCGAGCAGTATTAGCACGCAGTACAATAACCGGTCTACTCTTTTTTTTTTTTATCCGACTTTCTAAACAATTAAAATCTTTAAATAATACCGTCATTGAGAATCAAAACGCAAAGCCGGACGATTAGTCACATGATAATATAATAAATAATAATTATCGGTCTACCGATGAGGATTATACGAGAGTAATAATTAACAGGTGCGGCGTACCTTTACCAACTTCAAGGGCACGGTTGTATTTTGTATTTTATTTTTTTTTTTTACGAAAATAACGATAAATCAACGGCATATTAAACTTTTATCACTATATTATATGACTTTTGTATTGTATGAAGAATTATTTATATCCGTACACTTGTGTGAGCTCCTTCTTATTCGCTATTTCTTTTTTATCGCGCAGTATGCCGTTTTCATCACGTTTTAACTGCCCGGACGCAAATTTATATCGTACCTGTACCTCAAAGTTCGGTTTCAACTAAATCCCGTTTTGTTTTAAATCAACAATATATTGTTAGATTATACATATTATATTATGTAGCTATAGATTATTTATGACAGAACATCATCAATGATCATACGTTTTTTATGTATGTAGGTAATCATATGTTTTTACTGGGTCGTGAAATTTTTTTGAGAGGTCGTCACTCGCGGTTACGATTACGGTTGTTTTAGCCGTAAATTGATACCTTTATAACATTAAGTCTATATTGTATATTAATGTAAAGTCTAACTTGATTATTTTTTTTTTTTTAGTAAGGGGTCGCGTACCCAAAAAATGATTAAGCTTATGGGTCGCCATTGAAAAAAATTTGGAAAACACTGCACTAGTCAGTGACGAGCGTATCTGGATTATTCAATTAAATTTTGTCTCATAAATTTAATTAGTCTTGCGGTTAAAATAAGGTAATTGGGTATTCCGTCATGATATCACTGTAAGTCATAGAGGTATTAAATAAACTCATACATTTAATAATTTGTTTTGGTAACTAATAATACATTATAAATCGGTTTAAGTCATGATATGTATGCAGCGATTCCTAAAACATAATACATAATATAGATTTGTTGTTAAATTTTAATTGCAATAAAATAAAATTATTAATTTTACTAGGATTTAAAAATAATTATAAGTTACATCGAAAGCAAATCTATCAATAGGGATAAGAATCTGAATCAAATCCTGTTTTGATT